ATATTATTCCTATAATTAACAAATATTAACTTTAATAGTTAATTGACAAAAAATAACTAAGAAAATTTTTCTTAATCATTTTCTGTAATTTTTTTATCCTTACCTATAATTTTGAGTTACTTTTTGTAACTTTTTGGTTTATTTTATAATTTTTATCAATTGATAGTTAAATTTAACTTTTTATTAACAATAGGGTAATATTACACTATTTTTAAAAAATTAAATAAAAATATTATATAAAAAATGAGTTTAAAGTTCCAAATACTTATAGACATACAATTTAGGAATAAGATTACCCTTTAACCCTACCTATAAATATATAAGTGCCTGTAAATCACAGGCTGGATTTGAAGCATGAACCTTGGTCACAATTTAAGAATATATTTATAATTTAAATATTTTATTTATAATTAAAATTTCTGAATTTGTAATTATTTCCATTGCTATTTTCAATTCACTTTAAAACAGAAGTATTAGAAATTTAATTATCATTAATTTAATTTTTTTGGACCTAACTATTATTCTACTTGCTTCTTTTATAATGGTGATTCACACGGAAATATAAACTGTCATCCCTAGAAATTTATACGTGCGTGCTGATCATCGTAGGCTAGATTTTTTGTTTTTATATCAAATTTAGCTTAATTTTATTAACATATAGTTTGGGCCAAAAAAAAATTTAAGTGAATTAGTTTTTGAGAGCAAAAACTCATCAAAATAAGATCTGAACATGTTTTTTAATTTAAAAAATACTTACAAAAATACTTACATATTGCACACCAACACCAAAATAAGATTTGAACATGTTTTTTAATTTAAAAAGTACTTATAAAAATATTTACATATTGCACACCAATGAGGTCTTAATTAATAATAAGATTTGAACTCACAACCTTTATAGGTTATAAACAAAATCCTGATTAATTAGACTAACAATTATTCAACAACTTTATCGACAAATAGTTAACACCATTGTGATTGCATTTAATTTAATTTGCTTTTAAACATTAATGTTATGTTTCAATTTGACAGATTAAACATCATTTTATATATGTTCAAAAGTAACCCCGGCCCACAAGAATTGGGATTGTCATGAAAATCAAGAACTAAAGAGAGGCATATTCCTTAGGATCAAAGGTTTGTGAGAGTAACAGTTGAGGAGCGGTTGGAGAGGAAAAGGCAAATAATTCCACTGAGGAAACTTGAATTTTACCTCTTCCACATAAAAATAATGGCAAAGAAACATGTTTTTGTGTAGATTTAGGGTATACATTGTTTAAAAGGTATTCTCAAATTTTTTAGATTTAATTGAGGATATTTGATTTTGAATATTATATGTGCGTGTATGTCTTTAATGAAACATGTTTATAAAAATAATATCGATATTTAAATTATTATTTTATTTAAAAAAATGACTACACCTTACTCACCTTAATTTGTTTCTGGACTTAATCTAGGCGGTCATGTCTCTATTATTCTCATTACAGGTTCTAAGCTAGCCTCCTTGATTATTTATATCGTTTATTAGGTGGGATTTAGGAATAGAAATGTAAGATTTTTATTTACACACACACACAAAAACACATTATAAAAATTTGTGTTATTCACTAGTTGTAAGGTAAATCCTATGCACACAATCTAAATTATACAGAAAAGAAAAACCTTTGCAAACATGCACCTTAGTTTGGATAAGGAGAAAAATAGAGGGAAAAAATATTATGAAAACAAAAACAAAAACATTTTACTATTTTTGACAGTTTTTTTTTAAATTTTTTTTTCTTAGTATTCTCTCATTTTTTTCCTCTATTCAAGCAGTAGAGATGGTGTGGAGTCAAGGGATAAAGATCAATTTTCTCCGATAAAAAAAAGAAGATCAATTTTCTAAAAACAAAAATATAACTTGGAATCTTCAAACTTGATGGCATTGTCATCAAGTTTGAAGCAAAAATCCAAGTAAAAAGAACTTCAAACTCAATATGAATACTATCAATATCAATTTGAAGTATAAAATATTTACCAAGTCGTAACATTGACAATTTATAAATAATATGACTAATTTCCCAAACTTCATATATTACCCAAAAAATATATCTTATCAATTGTGAAATGGGAAATTTCGTTGTCACTGAGTTTAGAAAGAGCATAGCATTTCAAAGTGTAATTTTTAAATTTTTTCTGTGAGGAATTGAAGGGAAAAATTACTATTAGATATAAGAGTGACATATATATGTATACATGTATATGTGTATATATAGGGTGATAAATGACCAAGCGTACGTAGGAGAAGAGAGAATAAAAGTAATATGATGGATTTTTGGCAAACAAAAAGGAAAATTGACATAAAATCCCTCATTAGAAGGACCATTATTTAAAGGGATCGATACGATTTTAAGAATCAAATATACATTAGACCTATTGTCTTACACATCAAGTTTATTACCTTATATCTCAAGCATGTAACTTTGTATAACAAAGTTACATGTTAACCTTGGAGAATACTATGTAACTTACATGCTTGTGGTATAAAAAATTCATTGTTCATTTTGTTATTTTTTTTTGTACATCATCACTACGTTATATTTTCATGTGAAGGTTGTTCTTTTTTTTTTTTTTTGGTTAGCCAAGAAATTTGCACCTTTATGGTGTGGAAGGCAATAGACTTAGTGTGCAATGTAATAAGTTTGAGATGTAAGATCATAAGCTTGGGATGCAAAGTGATAGGCTTGGGTTGTAAGGTGATAAACTTGTGATACATTTGGTTTTTATTGGTATTGATCCCTTAAAATAATTTCCCTCTAAGGAGGGATTTTATGGAATTTTTTTTTTAAAGAGGCAAGAAGACAAAAAGTAGTATTAACATATGTTACGTGATCACCACTTCGATTTTGAGCTTTTTGACATTCCAATGAAAGAAGGCCATCCTTAATCCATTTTTGTACATAAGCCGTCCCTCCATTTTGGTGGTCCTGCTTTCTCCAACCAAATCAACTTCCCCATTCGTATTTACTCCAACACAGATTATCAAATTCTGATTTTGATATCCCTCCTCTCCATGCTTGTTCACTTTTTTCCATCCCCAATAATTAATTAATAATTAACTTGTCAAATTAAAGTCTATCTCCCATAGCCCCAGGCGTGATTTTATCAAAGTATTAAAAACTGAATTAATCCAATTAATTGAACTAGTAAACTTTTGGACCAATATCTTGACTAGTTCAATAAAATACTTTATTTATAATCTGTTTAACTATAATTTAATTATAATTTTGATCACTAATCCTTTAACTAGTGTTTTAATCGGTCCAATAATAATTCCTGTTAATACCTTGGATTTAATTACTATTATTCCATCTCCATTGCATCTTTTTTTTTTTTTGGTTCTATATGTGTTGATTTTATTTCCTTGACAAGCATTTTTTATTCAAAAGAGGTTGGATCATAATAACTGCTAATATTCTAATTTACCTTTATTAATGGGATGCTGTCATATTTTTTTTAGGAAGAAGACAACAAAAATAAATACAACTGTATACGTAGTTCATGTCTTATTGCACTTATTATTGTTTTTCTTTTTCATCTTTCTCCAAATACATCATGTACATTTTTTTTATAAAGGTGGAGGATCAAATTAGTTCAAATTCTAATTACTATTTACAACTATCATATCCTGATCACTTTTTTTTTTGGAGCAAACATACCCTGATCACTTGATTTGCTGATTTTCAATTGAAGAAATCCAGAGGGGAAAAGGCAATTTAGAAAGCAGTGCTATTTTTCCTACAATGAAAATGAAAAAAAAAAAATCAAAAGCATGGAGTTTTTCGGCCCAACACTGTTAGGCCCATTGTGGTGGGGTGGGTGGGCTTGGTCTAATTGTCCATTATTTTTTAAAAAAATTACATATAAATTCCATACAAGAAAATAATTATTATAAAATTTATTAATAACTGAACTAATATTAATATATTGTTAATTATCTCATTTTATTTGTTAATAAATTTTATAATAATTAATTTTTTTATGTAAAAATTTAACACAATTCTTCCATTATTTTTTACATTGAAAGTGTCCTTTCGGTCAATCATTCACACGTGTTTATTCAAAAAAAGAAGAAGAAAAAGAAGAAAAAGAAAAGAAATCATTCATTTATATAAGATTTATTTGACAAACTTTCATACGATCGTGGTCAAATAAAAATATATGTTTCAAACAAAAAATATATTTATGTTGCGTATATTAGATATATAGTTCAAGTCCCCATTTTCACTAGAGAGAAAAAAAAAAAATTATAGATTTCAATAGGCAAATTTTATTTTTAATTGCATGGAAGGTCATTGTGATGAAATGTTGATTTGAAGAGCCAATATGATTTTAGTTATTTTCTTGAGAAAATAAACAATATATTATCTTCGTATTCAATGAATCTATGTTATATATAAATTACCGTAAATTATCTGTACGATATTTTTTGTTCGATGCGGTGATATTTTTAATTTAGAACGAACTGTAATGCCATGTTAGGACCATTTGGTATAATAAGAAGAGATTTCACTTTTTGTCATTAATTAAATTAAGCACAAATTTTGTTGGTCAATACCCGAAGTTAAAAAATAAAATAAGAATGAATTGTATTTTAACTTGTAAAAATAAAACTTGTTACACATTTTAAATTATTTATTAAATATTAATATTAATATTAATATATCTGTGATATTAAATATAATATAAAATGTGAATAATTTATTTTTAAAATTTAAAAATATACAATTCAAATATTTTTATCACAATATAATATAATTTTGATCTTAACCCCAATTTAGGAATAAATTCGTCCCAATTCAAAAGAAAAATAATCAACACCTGTAAATTGATTACGATATGATAGGAAGTAAACCATGCAGAACAAAAAGAATTATTCATATTTTAAGATACTAGAACTACGAGTCGTTTGGAGAAATGCAACCAAACGAGGAGTCGTTTGAAGAACTGCCACAGGCATGGGGACCCGAGAGGTGGAGTTTCGAACGAGAGTTTCCTCTCGAGTCATTGCTTAATGGTGGAGTAATTGAGATTGTCGTCTTTGATTGTTCCTTCGCTTAGCTTCTGAAATTTCAGAACGCGCTTTACCATTCCTTTCTCTTCAAACTCTCTCTCTCTCACTCTAGAGGAGAGAGAAGGTTACCACAATGGCCGATCTCATAGCCAAAGGACAGGATCTCGAGAAGAAAGCAGAGAAGAAGATCAGTGGTTGGACCTTATTCGGCTCTAAATACGAAGATGCTGCTGAGTTGTTCGAGAAGTCTGCCAATTCCTTCAAACTCGGAAAATCTTGTTCGTATTTCGCTTCTTTTGATTTTCTCACTGTTGGGATTTTTTATCTGCAAACTTGAACAATTTGAATTTCCGAGTTTTGAGATATTCTTCAAACTTGCAGACTAGCTTAAGATGTATTTACGCCTGTCTTAAACTTTTATTCAGGGGACAGAGCTGGCTCTGTATTCATCAAGTTGTCCAAGTGTCATCTCAAGGTATGTGAGCATAACATGTCCATAAGCCTATTACGCTCCATTTTTCTTGGGTTAATTCGGCAGTCCTTTGCACTTAAACAGTTAGAAAGCAAACATGAAGCTGCTGGTGCTTACGTGGATGCTGCCCACTGCTACAAGAAAACATCCACAAAAGGTGTGCTATTAGATTTTGTTACATACAAGAGTGCGAGTGTTAACTGTTGAGTAACAAACATGCCATGCCCATGGAGATTCTTCATAAACCTGCAATCTTCACTGCTTGAATCTTTTCTGTATCTATTGTTCGTGTGCCAGGGTTTGTAGATCGATAATTCAGGACATTAGCTATAATTTTTGAAATTTGGTTTTTAAATCAATGAGTGAATGGTTTAATGGCTACAATGCTCGTTGTGATTGTTCTATTTCCAAAAGTCTAATCTAACGTTTTATTTTTTTTCATGCGTATCTAGGAGCCATATCATGCTTAGATCAAGCAGTTAGCCTCTATACTGAGATTGGTAGGCACAACATGGCTGCGAGATACTACAAGGTACTTTGGGTTTGAATTGTACCATTCTATGCTTTGCTGCTCCTAATTCTTTGACGACTCTGTCATAAGTGTTTTTTGCCATTTTGCTGCCTTCATAAAGGTGTGGTAATAACAATCATGAGAGCTGACTGTACTGTGGATTTTTTTACTCCCTGAATTTAGGAAATTGGTGACTTATATGAACTTGATCAAGACATAGAGAATGCCACTTTATATTTTGACAGGGCTGCTGAATTTTTTGAACTTGCGAATGCAACAACCTCTGCCAACCAGTGCAAATTGAAAGTTGCACAGTTTTCTGCTCAACTTCAACAGTGAGAACTTTTCTGCCTACAATGCACTTTTACACTTTATGATGGAAATTCTGCTCATTTAACTTAAATTGTCAATCTAAAAGATTTTGCATTTATCTTTGGAATTCCATCTAGTTCTCATTTCTACAATGCTAGAAGTTATCTAATTTCACTGAGGTTAAACATGCTTTCTGATTTTCCTTTTTCACATACCTTACTATGTATAAGAATGCGGCATTGCCATTGAAAATTATGGATGTAGTGAATAAGAGACGTGATATATATTGAAGTATATTGATCTACTTGATATTCATCAATATCCAGATATCAGAAGGCAATAGATATATTTGAAGATATTGCTCGACAGTCACTGAACAATAATTTACTAAAATATGGAGTTAGAGGACATCTTCTTAATGCTGGCCTTTGCCAGCTTTGTCGAGGTGATATTGTTGCAATCACCAACTCCTTGGAGCGATATCAGGTCTTTTGAAGTGACTTCTTTTCAAACAAGGTGTAATATTTTACTGTCACGTGTGCTTTAACACTTATTTAATTAATCATGCAGGACTTGGACCCAACTTTCTCCAGAGTTCGTGAGTACAAATTCTTAGGTGTAAGTGTTCAAATTGGCTAGTAATGTTGACTCCAGGAGGGGGGAAAACAACCAACCCTATTTAAATGATCTCCTTGCATAGATTGAAGTTAACAATATAAGTTGCTATGCAGTAACTGCTATCTGCATAGCTTGTTAACCTTTTGTAGCCATTTGAAGATTCATTGTTATTTATCATTTGAAAAGTGTAATCACATTTCAGGATTTGGTATCTGCAATTGATGAGGAAGATGTTGCAAAATTTACTGAAGTGGTCAAGGAATTCGATAGCATAATCCCACTGGTATATTTAACATTTCTGTGTCAATGAATGTAAATTCTTTAAATCAACCTTTTCTCATTCACATGCCGAATGGTGAAAAAATATCATGAAATGTTGATCACCTCAGTGGCATTCCTTTTTTTTTTTAATAGGACCTTATGGCATTATATGATCTGTGTGGTCAACCTCATTTAGAGAAATAAGGCTTATTCTTCTTATTGTGGTGATTGTAGTATTTCTCTTTCTTTTTGCTTTTTAAAGTAGTTTTGTAATTTCTTTTTCTGTGTTGAATATTAAGTGGTGGAATTACATTTGTTAGTTTGATATCTAAAAATGATTAATGAGAGGTTTTATTCAGATCGATCTCTGCATTGAGTCCTGCCAAGTTAGATAAAGATACCACTAGCTCAATCTATCTGTTTCAACCTATAAATATATCGGACTGTTTGCTTTCTGAAATTACATTGTAAATGGTAAAACATTGGCCCGAGGAATAATGATTAATGGCCTTACTCTTGAATCCCAATTCCCAAGCTCTTCAACTTATCAACAAAAATCTCAAATGAAATATGTTGATCCAATGCATGTCTTCTTCTTTGTCCTTGCCTGTAATCCTTTTGGTCTTGTTCACTTTATTACACCTATCCATTACACCCGTTCTCTTTCCTTCCTCTTGGATTCTATTACTTGAATTCTTGTGCTCGTCTTATTTCTTTGTTGGGGTGGTAGGTCAGAAGGTATTTGGTTCTATATTTTATGTATCTTAGCCAGCCAGCCTTAGTTGATTGTCCTTCATCTTTTCTTTAAACAAGGCTACATCTATCTTAGATCTGACTCCAGCATATGTTATCTTTCATTCTTTCTTATGTTTAGATAAAGGACAAGAGTTAGGTAAATTCCCTAAATTGCCTATTATGAGTTTCTGCAATCAAAATATGACAAGTGGGGAAACTTTTCTAGAAGACCCAATCATGCTGTATTGAGGTGTAAAAATTCACACGTATACAAAAAAAAAAAATCTTATAAGTTTACTCTATTGATAAATTTTCCTTAACATGGTTTTGTTTTTGCCTTCACGGCTGTTGATGGCCATATATGGCATGCCTTGCACGATAGTATGCCTAACTAGTTAACCTGAAGAGGCTTGATAAAAAAATGATAAACGTCCTTAATTTATGCAGCCGTTGTTGAGGACATGTTATTTGCAGAGATTTTTAATGATGATCGTGCCTTGTGTGACTTTTGGGAATCATATGCTCATATCATGTAGAGTTCTAGCCGTGCACTGCATACCCTGATTCTGTGTGATCTGTATATGCCCATATTTTCCCTATTCATAATTAAATTGGCATCTTGCATACCTAATTATATATGAAAAGACAATAACGGGGTAGAATGCCAAAATATACTATTAACTCTTCTAGAGTCTTATTACTATTATTTTCGAGTGTCTACTTGTTTACTAAGCTATACCCTACTTAAATATGTGAATTTAGGATTCTTGGAAGGCCGCCCTTTTACTGAGAGTAAAGGAAGCTCTGAAGGCAAAAGAAATGGAGGAGGATGATTTGACTTGAATGAATTACTATCGAATTTCTTACCAATTAAAGTAATGTCAGCTTTGTAAAGGCCAGTGGTTAGGTTTCAGTTATTTCTATTGTTTGGTGGTTCCCTTATCATTTTAAACAGAAGATCACAGGAATAAGGTCTCTTGAATTCTCTTCACAACCGCTTGATGCGTGTATGTATATATAAATTGAGAACAACATTTCTTTGAACTCTGTCTCTCTGGTTGTATCATTTGTGTATGGAACACCTCAGATTTCCCCCTTTACGTCGGCAAGCACTTGATAATATTTTCGTGGGGTGGCGAGTCCACTTTCGTTAAATAATGTATTATGATAATAATTCGAGTTGAAAGATGTGCTGGGAATGGCGTCTTTGTTACATGGGGGAATTGTTATTGCCCGAGTTTTGTATGCATGTGCCCATGGCGTGTGTAAAGCAAAATTACATAATCTCTCTCCTCTCGTAGTTCACTCTTTCTTTAAGCTTTTGTGATATTCCCTAGTGCCAAAACTAATTTAAAACTCATTAATTCTGTTTAAAATGGAGGTTTTAATCACTATCGTTTGTTAATTAGTTACCAACAAGTGTTAGTTCTAATAAAAAAGGGTTATAATACTTAAACTTGAACTTTTAAAATTGAGTCTTTGCAAATGAAGAAATTTTATCTGAGGGAACTATCCCTAATTGGAATTAAAAATTCTTGATGATCTAACAATATTGGCTGTCACACACAAATTTAAAGGGGAGGGTTGGGATACATTATTTTTTATTTTGAAGGAAATACCTGGATTTTGCAAATCAAAGGGATGACTCTGCTAGACAAGCAAAATCAGAAGGACTAGTTGAGAAAGTATGTCTTTTTTTTTTTTTTTTTTTTAATTAAAGGTCAAGCACTAGTTGCTTGAATTTATAAGCGACATTAAACTTTTGACTTCCTACTTATTGAGGAGCATGCATGTCACTAAATTATAAAGTAATTGATAGAAAGTGTATCTTTTATTCTCTCCAACTCTAAAGAGGATTATTTTATATTAATAGAGTATTTTTAATAGTGGATTCACTCTATGGTGGAAGTATGTAAATGCATCCCCCACTACGAAAAAAAAAAATATATAATCAAGGTACGTAGATTTTATAACTTCACACTTTTTATTCTTCATATTTTATGCCTTTTGGATTAAATAAAAAAATTTGGATTCAAAATTTTATTAAATATATAATATTTTAATAATCAAAATAAGAAATGAAGAGCATATTATATATAAGATCATATAAAGTGATGGTCAATCTACTTATATTTTTATAATTTAATTTTAGTCCTAAAATAATTATTATGTTTTTGAAAAATTATTAATTTTTAAACTAAATTATCTCATTACCCTGCCTTTGAAACCTGGCTCTGCCATCAAGGATGTTCCTCGTTGGGGAAAATAATTAAGCTAGACTGTGGAGTTCAGCTCAAGCCATCTCCTTACTTCTGCGCTTAATGTGACATGCATAAAGAAACATTTGACTTAGGGAAATGCTCATTGGCAGGACAAATAATTCCATCATTGAAGATGTTGCTGCTATGCAACGTTTCTCCCCCAGTTCATTGTTTTCTGCTCTCAAAAAGACTATTTATTCTGCCATTAGTTTCTCTCGCTGGACTTTACCTCTACTTTCTACTTTAACTTTTATTTGTTAATATAATACTTGTTTTTCCTAAAAAGAAAGTTAAAAAAAAAATTGGATGGGAGGTGAATATATTTTATTCAAACATTAATTAAAAAACCAGTTGTAATTTTGATACAACTTTCATTAAAATAGTCCTCGGTTCAATGTATGAAGAGCTGGCCTAGATCGAGTTAAGCGAATAAGACAGAATATAAACCTCATTCATAGTTTCATCTATACTTTAATGATTGGAATCTGTCGTTAATATAAGCTCCAGCATCATCGGCAAACAAAAATGTCATTTTTTTTATGGTTCTTGGGACCTTTTTGCCGTCGGAATACTATTTTTCAAGGTACTGAAAACCGGACCGGTCATTGAACCGGCCAAACTCAGGGGTCAGGGGTCATGGGTTCAACCGGGGGTCAAACCGGAGTCAGATCGGTCATAATAAAATAATATAATTTAAATAAAAAATGTATTAATTCTCAATACGTTCATACATATCCAAATCTTAATATCTCATATAACATATAACAATAATTCTAACAATAATAAAGTATAACAACATTTCTATATTTTTTTAAAATAAGGTTAACTAAATGATAAAAAAATTTCAATGAGTTAAAATAATAGAAATAAAAATTTATTTTAAAATAAAAGATAATAAATGAAAGTGATATATTTTAAAAATTATTTAATTAAATAATTCAAATTAAAAAATAATATAATATAATATATATTTATACTTTTTGATTTCTTTTTACTTGTTTCATCCCCTTATCTGACATAAGTATATTTTTTTTACCCTATGACTCATATTGACCTATCATTAATCATTATCATGTTAAAAATAAATATATATCTTAATTAATCATTATTATTTTTTTTAAATTTCAACCCGCCCAACCCGCCTGAACCGAGGGGTTGGGCGGGTTAATCCGGGTTAATCCCGGGTCATCCGGGTTAACTGAAAATAAAAAGAAAAAGAAAACCGGACCGACACATGACCGGGTCACCGATTCACCGGTCGGACCGGCCGGTCCGGTCCGGTTTTAAAAACAATGCTATTTTCTACTCCACTGCTGCGCACGGCAACAATCTTCTTCTTCCACTCACTCTTCTTCACTATAATACTCCTCCCCCTCCTCCTGATTGCTCTCTTTCTCTGAACCTCCTCGTTTTCTTCTCTTCCTTAGCATAGCTTTCCTCTCATATGGCGTCCATTTCTCAAATTTCCAACCTTGCTTCGTTGCTCCGCAGTTGGAACACGAGGGATGAGTCAAGAACTATTTTTGATGCTAGAGTGTCATTCGCACGCCCTCTTGAACTCTCTAATTTGAGCCAGAATCTAATTCGATGTTGCGGAAAGCGATCGTTTATGTCTGGACCTCCTCGTGCCTCTACAGAAGTGGTTGATGATCTAATTCTTGAGAAGGAAGAAGCAGGGGAGGAGAAAGACAGGGTCTTGAGGGTTGGTCTTGTGTGCGGTGGTCCTTCTGCAGAGCGTGGGATTTCTCTCAATTCGGCGAGATCAGTTCTTGATCACATACAGGTTGTAGTTTGCTCTGTAGTTGCAGGAGAATTCTGCAATGTTATGCGGTGGAAACTCCTAAAGTTGCTTTGTTATTTCTATGGTTTTATGTAACGGTTAAATAAATTAAAGAGAAAAGCTAGACTCAGAATCAAGTTCAATTCTCGATAAATGAATAGAAAGGGTCTTATAATTCCGGCAACGTAGCTTTAAAGAAACAAAACTGCAAGTAGTTGTGCCTTTGTATTCAGATTTTAAAAAGATATCAAAGCTGGCGGAGGTCAATAGGCATTGATTCATTTTTTTTTTAATACACAGTAGGCGTTGATTCTTCATGTCCATGAACTAATATTGTGGACAGCTTAAAGGCAATTTCTATCTTTTTAACATATACTTTGTGTTATCTGACAGGGAGATGATTTGCACGTGAATTGCTATTATATAGATTGCAATCTCAAGGCACATGTTATATCCTCTGCTCAGGTTCGTACTGTGTATGCATTTTGAAAATGATGTGATTTTCTATCTTAATTCTGAACTACGGATTGCACTATGTTATAGGGCATATCTAGCTACTTTTTTTCCTTCTTTTTTTGTGGCCAAACCTGAAAACTATGCGGTCAACACTGAATATGACTAATCACTGATGGGTAAGTCAACTGGGGTCTGGGGTTCACAATTACTGATAATGTCATAATTCTGTTTTATCATTAGCCTGAGGTAACATGCATTTCAATCAGAGTAGGTTCTTCATTGGAATTTCTCTCAGGAGTTCAGACAATTTATTTTTCTTAAAATTTACTAAAAATGCTATTTTACATTTTGAGGTAAAATTAGCAAAAATATAGGCAAAAGTCTAAATGAAACAGTTTTTATTTAGAGGTCTCAAGTTTTTGATCTAGCATGTTCGTCTCTGTCCATCAATCTTTCCTAGGGTATGCCTGTTAGACGCTGCAACATTCTACTACTTTGATATAGATAGTTGAAGATGAAATCTGGGCCAGTGGATGGCTCTAAGAGTCCGAATCCATAGCTTGTTAGAGGAACACGATGTTCAGAACCTCTGGAAGTTCACCTCTAGATGGTCTTAATTAGAGAAAATTAATTGAATCTTTTGTGGTGTAGCATTGTTATTATTAGGTATTATTCAATTCGTGGTCCGGAATTGTTTATTAGCATTCTTAATCAATATTTATTTGTCCCTCATTTTTCCCAAAAAAAAAAAGGAAGTTTTATGATGAAACTGAAAAATGTCTTGTTTCCAGCGCATAAAACTAACTGAAAATGAATTTTGGCGGTGACATTTGGCTTGAGGATTTTTCAGCTTCTCCTATTAGGTTGTTTATATCTATTTCTCTTGTAAAAGAAATAGCAGTACGTTAGTCTTGTTTCATTGCATTTTATGCTCCAAGTTCTTTTCTTCTTTCAGTTGAGCAAGTTTTGGGTGTATGAACTTTCTATCTTGTTTGTTGAAAGGTTCATGGTGTTTCTCCAACAATCTTCTACTGGCTTCACCACATTCTAGGTTAATTAATGACCAGAAGTGGCATCAATAGGCATCTAATAACTTCAACTGGGGATTCATGAAATGAAAATCAGAAATCGTGCAAGTTGTTTTACCCATTTAAGCTTGCTAATTTTTCATGTCTTGCAAAGGATGGCAATCGCTTATGTATCTTTCTTGCAGGTATATTCAAACACTCCAGCAGACTTTGATTTCAAGCTTGAAAGGTGAATATGCCATGCAATTTTGAAGTATTGAATATCTTTTCATACACAAAAACAAGTGTTGAATTGCATTCATCTTTTAATATGATCTGATTGTTAATTCATGCAGCCTTGCCCAAAGTTTCCAGAATTTATCTGACTTTGCCAAGCATCTAGCTACAGCTGTGGACATAGTGTTTCCAGTTATACATGGTCAATTTGGTGAGGACGGTGGCATTCAGGTGTAGCATAGTAAAGCTCTTGATAACCAATGTTCTAACTGAAATATGCATTTTCATGGCAATTTCTCCTAGGCTACTCAAACTTGTTGGAATATGAATTATTTTTTCAATGTGATGAACTTCCAGGA